CAGAAATCCTCATCTTTCTCCTGCAGAGTGTCCAAGGGTTTGAACTGTTGACCTTGAGGTTAGCAGTCGAGTGCTTATCCTACAGCACCACCAAGGTTCTCTCTGTTAGGAATTAGCAACCTATTTAGTCTTGAACGTGACTGGATGAGCCTAAAGATGTTTCACAACTGTTCTTGGTCAACCTATAAAAAGGATACATAATAGAAAGATGAAAAAAAATCAAGATTCCAGACCTGATGGATCTGTCTTAGAGATTGACAGCTTGTGAGCTACTCAAAGCCAGGAATAATAATAATGCCAGAATATGAAGAACTACCCTACATTGTGTGCTCAGTTCTCTCAATCATCTCATTGTTGTTGTGAAGAGCTGTTGTGTCCGTTCTGATTCCTAGCGACTTTTCAAGGAGCAGCTGGTAGCTTTGAACCTCTGACCTTGTGGTTCCTACAGCTTCAAACCAGGAATCCCTTAGTAATCTTATGAAGTATCTGTATCCACAATTTACAGAAGAAAAAACAGTCACAGAAAGAAGAATTTACCTATCAAAGTGCACTGAGCTAGAAAGGTGCAGAATCAGGATTTGAACCGACTGACTCAGAGCCTCTTCTCTTCCCAGCCCTCCAAGCTACTTTTGCACAGTGATTGCCTTCACTCCCTTGGTCCCCAGCACATGGTCTTAGAGAAGTTGCTTGCAACTTGATATGAACTGACCGCAGCTACCACTTTGTGGAGTTGCCGTCTACAGATTCTGTTTCTGTCCTGACTTTCCAGGCCAGTCTGGATTCGAAAGAAGTGAGTTCACCTTCCCCTTACATCTGTGCTTCTTAAACCAGGTCCTTCAAGCTTTGAACTATGAAAATGCCATTGTGGGCATTCAGAAGTGGCTTCCACCTGTGTTTCACTTAACACTGTCCATTAATTCCTAAAGCACCCCTTAGCTCAGCTCAGAAATACAATAACCCAAGGATTTCCTTGGCGGAGCCAATTCAATTCCAAGTAAAAATTAGAAAGTTCTAAGAATGCAAAACCACAGCCATTGGCGACCAGACTTACTTTAAAGTCACAAGATTTTACCTCTACAAATACAACCTCCCGTCCCTCTCAGCACTTCCTGTTCCATCCGACTTAAATAAGTGGCCTCCACTGGGAGGTTGTAAGCATTGTCATTAATGTGAACATACATGAATTAATGTCTGTCCCTGGGAGATCATTGTGAAAGTGGCTTGGGTCTCTGCTGTCATCTTTTGTAGCACGTTTCTGTAATGTGAAGTATGTTTCTATAACGAACCAAGGGAATACATTGAACAAGTATTCCACTGTACAAATGCTATTTTATTCATTAATGCAACACATAATTTTCTACTGAGTAACTACCAAGGAAATGTTACATTTGGGGTTAAATCTCAATTGTCATTTTTAGTCCAAAAAGCGGGTTTCCTTACATTTTATTACTGTGCTTTAAAAGTAGGTAGAGTTGAGAAACGCAGAAGTAATTCCCAGAAGAAACAACCAATAAACGTAGGGAAAAAAGGCTCACCTTCATTAGCAATAACGTGAGTACAATTATGAAAAGATTTTTGAGTTTGTTCCTTTAAATTGACAAGGCTCCAAGTGATAACAGGATGTTGGGTAGACCAAGGGTAGTGAATGGGCACTCTCATATACCGAAGTCGGGAGCACAGACTGGTGTTTTTTGGGACACAGTTAGTGTGACTGTTCATTTTACTTCTAGAAATGTACCATAACACCCTAGAGCCTGGCTGTCCATATATGTGCACTAAGCAGTTCCTGCGGCACTGTTTCCAAAAGAGATGGATTGGCGAATGGAATCTCACCTAGAAAGAGCAGATGTTATGAGTCATGACGAATTCACACAACGGACTATTATGCAGCTGTTACAAAGAATGGGGTCTGGCTTACAGTGGTCTCTGTGCAAGATTCAATCAGAAGACAAACCCATTTGTCTGCCAAATTCTCCATTGTTAAAAATATCCATTTACAGCTGCATTTAAAAAAACCCTGGGAATATTACCACTCAACAGATAATTGTCATTGCTGTCAAGTGCCACTGAGTTGGTTCCAACTCATAGTGACCTTGTATGGGTTTTCAGAGGAGGGGCTGGTAGGTTTGAACCACTGACTTTTGTGGTTTGCAGTCCAGTGCTTATCCTATAGTGCCATACCAACTCCCAACAGTTAATAGTTGGTTATTTTTCATAGAGGATTGGCAGGGGCACAGCGCTTTCATTTCTCATTTCATACACTTGGTATGATGTCCAGGTATTTAAATATTTCTAAATTATATGTATCTGTGTGTGTTGGCATGGGCGTATGGTGGGCTGGGTGGGGTGGGAAGAAGAATTGTTTGAGAAGTCTGATTACTTCACCTGAGGTACTATCTACTTCCTTTGATCTAATGGCCAAAATTAGAGTCCTGGTGTGGCACAGTAGGATAAAGCGCTGGACCACAAGGTTGGTTTCAACTGCAAAGTCCGCGGTTCAAACTCACCAGCCACTCCTTGGAACTCCTATGCAGGGTTGCTATGAGTCAGAACCAACTCCACAACACTTAACAAAAACAATGGCAGAAATCAGCAAAAGCAGCTTTGGAAAGGAGGATGCTGCTTAAGATGGGTAGTAACTGGATATTATCCAATTAATTATTTGTAGAAAGCAGGTGTTGTATGTATGCATGTGTATGTTGCTGTTGTTAAGTGCCGTCAAGTCGATTCTGACCCATAACAACCCTGTATAGGGCTTCCAGGGAGCAGCTGGTGAGCTTGAACCACCGACCTTTAAGTTCAAATGGCTTTCAGTCTGATGCATTAGCTCACAGCACCACACGAATGAGAGAGCGGAAGAGAAACCTGGCCATAATCCCAGCCACCCTGTCTTCATAACAGCACACAGAGCTCATGGCAAACACACTCACACTCACACTCCTTCCCTCCCAACCACCCCACAGTGCTACTGGTCACTCCCTCCCTGTGGTCAGAACATGCTGGTAACAAACATCCTCCACATCACCCAGTTCCCTGCTTCGATCTTCCTCCACCCCGCCCTCGTCCTCAGCAATGTACTTCGTCAATTGTGTGAAATATTTTAATCGTTCATTAAAAGAGGTAACAGGAAAGTATAATATTTTATAAGGAAAAAATTCCCACTTACGAAACCTTGCATGACTGTCCCTGGAAAAGGATCTTCTACTCATGAAACTAGATCCAGCAAGGCAAGTCTTCTGCTTTACTGATGGGCTGCCTGTGTTTGGTGTTAAATCAAGTCTAATAAATGGTCATGATCCTTATTCTTTAAAACTTTGTTTTTCTCCATTTTCCCCAATTCAAGTCACCTTGGAGATTGACTTCTGCATGAATATAATTTCCAAACACTATGTATGTCTTTTTGCACTGAATTATTTTTAAGTTACAGAGAGGGTCAATCTCTCTGTAACCAGAACAAGTTAACATATATCTTATAGACTCCCGGTGTGGTTCTGTAGGATCAGCATTGGACTGAGAATCACAAGGTCGGCAGTTCAAACCCATCAGCTGCTCCTTGGAAACCCTATACAGGATCACTACGAGTTGGAACCGACTCGATGACACTAAACAACAATGACAACAACAACTAGAACATTCTTATGCTGCCAGGGAGATAGAAGTATACCTGTTAGATACCCAATTGCAAAAGAGAATTCTCCTACACATTTAGTCATATAATTACCTTATAGATGCCTTATTTGTATATAAAGTTATTCAACAGCTACATGAGAAGCAGTGTACCTTATGAATCTATTCTGTTTGACCTGCCATTCATAATACAAGCTGTTCCCATATCCAGGAGACCTCACTCTGAAGAATATTCTATGCCCACCTGGCAAAGAACATGCAATAAAGAAGTTTTTACATTAAAACAAAAAACTTGTAATTCTTAGACATGTCAAATTGTTCCAGAGAATTCAAAGGTCACTCAAATCCCTGAAAAGCTTCTGAGATGGCATTGTTGTTGTTATGTGCCATGGAGTTGGTTCCGACTCACAGCGAACCTGTACAGGGTTTCTGAGGCTGTAAATCTTTACAGGAGCAGAACGCCTCATCTTTCTCCTGCGGAACAGCTGGTAGTTTCGAACTGGTGACCTGAGGTTAGCAGACGGATTCGTAACCACTACGCTACCAGAACCAGGGACCAACTCCTGGAGACGTCTGATTTGACATTCCTTAGAACTTTGCCACACTGAGTAAGCCTGGAGTTTTGCTTCACTCAGCAGCTCTGTTACCTTTCACGCGGCGTTTGCTGTGTTTCCTGGCTTTCAGTTTGGACGTGTGGCTGGTGGTGTGATCCAGGAGCAAGGTGATAATCAGGATGCAGATTACAAGTCTGTTCTTGGCCATGACTCTCAGGCAGGTCCGACTGGCCGCTTTGCCAGTCCCTCGGAGCTGCTGTAGATGGAGCGTGTGGATAGCCCAGCTGAGTCTTGCTCTGAGGAGCCCGAGGCCAGGTTTATAAAAGCGAGCTGTGCTCCTTGGCTGCAGTCCCTGCTTACGATGTGTTTGACTCTTTGCTGGTCACTACACTTCACAAGGTGGACCCTTGTTCTCATGCCTCGTGGTAGATTTTTAAAATTTCTACTGCATTTCCTAACTGTGTATTTTTTCAGTGTATCCCACTTAAGGATGTTGCCTGGTTTCCTGTTTGTTTGCTTGTTTTTAATTTAAAGTCCATGTAGTTAGGGATCTCTGTAAGGTCCAGTATTTAAATCTTTGATTTAGATTTCTGGAACTCACTTAATGCTTGTGGAGATGATTTGATCCTGTTTTCAGGGCTCAAGAATGACCTAGAACACAACAGGAGTTACTACTTGTGTGTGTCATGCTATAACACCACTGTGTCTCAAACAATGTGTCTACTGCCCACACTTGTGTGTCTATGCAGTCTACATGGAGGCTGGGAGTGATTTGCCCTATGAGATTAATGGCAATGACTAAATTGGATGGTTCATGATAAAGCATAAAGCCTCCCTCTGGTAGGGTTTTGTGGACTCTTGAAGAATTACATTCTGGGGAAAAGATACGTTATGGTGAAAAAGAAAAACGAAAAGCGAGGGAAGAAGCTTATAGCATGAACTCTCTCCCTAAATATTAGTGTAAAATGTCAACTATAGTTACCTTTCAGACCCTCCATCAGCTAACACTTTTTTCTAAAACACTTCCCCAAACACATTAAGTCACACTTTCAAGTGAATTACATAAACAACACAGAAAGAGAGAAATGTTTAGTATAATTATTCTTAATCTTAAAAACAGGCTTTAAGGAAAGCTCTGTGGAACTTCTAGGCTTCTGCATCAAAAACAGGATTTCCATATAGTTGGGGTGAGTTGGACCCAGGAGAAGTTTTTTCTACTGACCCCACATCCATGTCTGCTTAACAGTTACAGAGACAAGAGCTGAAGATTCTGGAAGGTCTGAAGGACCAAGCGTCTTTTACCTTTCTCTTCGCTCTTTTAGACAGTAAGAATCAAGGCTGATTGCTTCCTTTTAAATCTTCCTGAGGAAAACCACAGTCTGATTCATTCTCATTTCCACCTAGCCTGAGCCATTTGGCAACTTACCAAACTCTAAAGTAAGACCACTGATGTTAAAAAGCCTGACATAACTTAGCAATGCAAGTATGAGGTTAAAAACAAAAACGAAGATTCTACATAAAATGTAAATGGAAAAGATTCTACGTAATATAAAACAGTGTTCTGGTGTGGCGTCATAGGGTAAGTACTGATCTGCTAACCACAAGACCGGAGGTTCAAAACCAACAGCTGCTCCTTGAAAACCCTATGTAGGGTTGCTATGAGTTAGAACCAACTTGCTGGCACTTAACAAAAACATAAAACGCAGATTCCTTGTACCGATGTGTGCAGGCTATGACCAGGTTTTGAGGGTGTTGTGGAAAAAAGGTAATCTGGTTCACACCTACCTTCATCTGTTTATTAGCTGTGTGATTGTGGGATAGTCACAGAACCTCTCTGAGTCTGTTCTCTCTCATCTTCACAATGGAGTTTGTTGAGGAGTGGTTGCTTTGTTTGAATCACCAACTTTGTGGTTAGGAGTTGCAAAACCACGTGGGAGTCATGCCTGACTTCCCCTGGCTTCCCAAGGGGGAAAGAGAATCAAACACAAAATCAGTCTCAGGCCATTCCCATAAAGCAGAGATCAGACATGCTTCCACCCTACAACCTTCTTTTTACCTTTTCTGACACCCACCATCCCTCCCACAGCACTCTCTGCTTCACATCTGGGATTGATAATCCATTGCAGTGGCCACACAGAACTCCTAACAATACTAAGGATTATGGGGTTTATTAGGGAAGTGAACAGGGTACAAATCAGGATCAACCCCAACTCAGGACGTGGCAGTTCTCCCTTCAGGAACGCCTCTTTTTTTTTTTTTTTTCCACTCAGGCATATATGATAAATTACATCTCCAAAGGGCACATTCTGCAAGTCTGCTCCTGGCTACCAGTTCTTAGTCCTTCTCTTCTTAGTCGATGAATCTAGAGTCCTCAGCCACTCCCCCTCTCCATGTCCCCATCTCTGCCTCCATCTCTGGCGCTGCTGCTTCTCTGGATAAGGTCCCGCATTCTATTTGTGTGTTCCTCTCATGATGGTCCTAGGGTCCTCGGTTTCTGGACTATAAGATTAACCACTCCCCCTTTTTTTTGTTACAAAGTCACGATTAGTCATGATAACAGTTATTCACTATTGAATCTTACGAATCTTATCCCCATCTCCTTTCACCAGACCCACCTAGACAAGATGATAGGTATTCAGTGGGGACTCTTTCTTTCCCCCTACACGCTTAAACTAAACTCCCTCTTGAAACCTTATAAGCCAGTCACTTTGTGCATTTATTGCCCCCTCATTTTAGGTAGCCAATGTCTAAGTTGCCCGTTCCTATCTATCCTGTGCACTGAGTGGATAGCATTGATACTTGATTTGAAGACTCTTTCCCTCTCTGTTGGTATTTAGAGTAACTACC